CCCAGGATCCGAACCCGGGCCGCCGGCAGCGGAGAGCACGCACTTAACCGCTAAGCCACGGGGCCGGCCCTATTTTATTAACTGTTTACTCCAGCACATTGACAATTTTTTTCTACTGGAGTTTCATGATCAATTTATATTAGTTTGTAATAAATTAAAGATTAAAAAATCTTATAATTATTTAATGCTGTTTGAAAATAAAAACGTTAATCCTCTTTCACATTGATTTCCCTTTTACTTCAATTAACATATTAAATCCTTATATATACTATGACTATATTTGAGCTACTGTTTATTAATTGGTTTATTCTTGCCCAAGGGGTGTAATATTTAACACTTAATATACATTATCTTATTTCATCCTCTCAATAATAGGTAAATATTACTACTATGCTAATTTAGGTTTGAGAGGCTAAGTAACTCGCTCAAGATCATACCAAGATTTCACTTGGTTTTTAACTCTAGAGTTTTTAACTCTAGAGTTTAAGCTTTTAACGTGTTTTATCAGATCAGAATTAGCTGTTCATACACTAGCAAAATGTTGATAACTGCTGAAGATGTCACAGGAGTTCACTGTACTAGTCCCTTCATTTTTGTGTATGTTTGAAAATTTCCATAATCAAAAGTTTATAAAGTAACTGTTTTTTGAAAATTTAAAAGAACTCAATGGTAAAACTTTAGGGCCCTAATATATTCTGCACGTGTATTTGATTAATAGTTTTTAAATTTTCTTCCTTGATTTATTTAGGTTTTCTACTTCTTAGTCAATTTTGGCTTTCTTTTCCCAGAAAAATAATTATTCATTTCATTAACTTTTCCAAGGTATTAGTTTAGTTCAGCAAACACTTATATAGCATCTATATTCCATACACTGTGCTAAGCAAACAAAGATGAATAAAAACATATAATCTTGTGTTCAAGGAGGTCATAATCTAGTAGAAAAAAGATAATTAAACAATGTTATAAACTTGATGCACAGAGTTATTTAGTGCAGATTAATAAATAGTTTTTGCGAAACGAAAATAACTTAAATGTTCAAGAGTAAACTACGGTATATCTACTTGACAAGTACTCAGTAGCCATTAAACAGAAATTATGTTTGGGTGGTAGGACTATGAATGATTTTTCTTCTACTTCTCTAACTTTCTATAATAATCATAACACAGTACTTTTCTCATGAAAACTGAAACTATTTTAAAAAGTCATATTTACCTATAGGTTATGAATTATCACCATATACACATTTCCTCTTAATATTTAACTTATACAAAATTTTCCAAATTCTATCTCTTGCCAAAATTATTATTGGGTAACCAGTAGTATGGAATTTCATTACAAAGAAATATTATGTAAAAGAGTAAGGGCAGACAGTGTGTTAATTTCATTTCCAGACATTCCTCATTAACTAGTAGCTACAGAGATGTTAGTCTAACTATTGAGAGCATCTGAAAATGTGACCACCCCCTTTTAATGCCCTTCTAGAGTCTTATGCTTCAGGCAGGAGTCACAATTTCAAATGTGTCAATTTTGCTTAATAATTTTAATTCTATTTATTTTTTCCCCCAAAGCCCCAGTAGATAGCTGTATGTCATAGCTGCACATCCTTCTAGTTGCTGTATGTGGGACGCGGCCTCAGCATGGTGGGAGAAGCGGTGCGTCGGTGCGCGCCCGGGATCCGAACCCGGGCCGCCAGCAGCGGAGCTCACGCACCTAACCGCTAAGCCACGGGGCCGGCCCTCAATTTTGCTTCTATCAAGCCTAAAAAGTAGCACAAAAGCCCCCTTCACTGTGGGAGTTGGAATGAAGGTTTCTCATCATCCCATGGAGAGTGTCCATACTCAGGAGTCAAACTACATGACAATCCCAGTTTTTAGCGTAAAAGATACTCCAACATGATGAAAATTCTATAAGGATATACAAAAGTTTCACATAAAGAAGGAAAAAAAGAGGGAAAACACGAGTAAAGGAAACTAAAGTAAAAAATTATTATAGTAAAAAATTATTATAGTCTCAACTTGTTTTAAAGACCCTGCAGAAAGATCCTAGATGGTGAACCTCAGTTCATTATCTGTGCAAAAGCTCAATTTTTTTCTCTCATTTTAAGATGTGGTATAAAGAACTTCCAACTGGATGTCAGGAAATCTGGGTTCTATTCTTGGCTCTTAAATGGGTGATCTGGCCAAATCAATTACCCACTGTTCCTCGGTTTCCTCATTGATAAAATGAGGAGTTTTAACTCACTATATGCTTTTCAAGGTACCTCCCAATTCTAAAATAAAGTGAGTGACCAACAGAAAAGAGTCCTTACCTTATTGTAACCACTGATGGGAGAGTAGGTCACTCCAGGACTGTAAGAACCACTGCTACCTGAGGACAGACCTTGTAGCTGAGGGCTGTACCCAGTTATACAACTGGTGGTGAACTTGGGGCTGGTACTGGGTGAACGAGACGGGCTATAACTCAACACACTCTGACCTTGAATTGAAGGAGAAGGTGGAGAGGGAGGGATTTGGGTTGCTGCCAGATCATGTGGAGGAGTAGTCTGTACAACTAGAAGGAATAAATAAATAAATAGTCAGTAAATAAATAATATATATGTGTATGTATAAATAAAGTTTCTATGAACACAGATTTAATGAACTGAATCGTTTTCCTCAAGAAAAGGAGAGGTAATAAAGTGACTTCGTTGTTAAATTACCAAAGGACACAAATTAGTTGCTTACTATTTCCAGAGTTCAAAATAAGAAATGAGCTTCAATACAGCAAGAGTTAATCTTTTAACTTTAATTGTAATTAAACCATGGAACAAACTTTCATGAAGCTGTTGAATAGTTAGTTCCATTCAATTTACACAAATAGGAATGATAATCATTTGTCTTCAGGCAATTTACTGTAGACTTGTTGAATATAGTTGAACTAGATGACCTTAGAGGGGCCGGCCCAGTGATACAGTGGTTAAGTTCTCGAGCTCTGCTTTGGTGGCCCGGAGTTTGCCAGTTCAGATCCTGGGCGTGTACCTATGCACCGCTCCTCAAGCCATGATGAGGTGTCGTCCCACACAGAGCAACTAGAAGGACGTACAACTATGACATACAACTATCTACTGGGGTTTTGGTGGAAAAAAAGGAAAAACAAAAACAAAGGAGGAAGATTAGCAATAGATGTTAGCTCAAGGCCAATCTTCCTTAAAAAAAAAAAAAAATTAGATGGCCTTAGAAGTCCCTTCCAGCTGAGTCTATGAAAAGGGAAAATTAAATCGAGAAAGATTTATTGCCAACCTTTCGACCACCTTTGCAAAGATATAAAACACTTACCAGCTGTTTTCAACCCTAAAAGTGTTTGCTGTCCAGGGCTAACAACCAGACTTGTTGGTGCCACAGTATATTTGAAGTATCTCCAAAAATCAACTAAGGCATTTAGGCTGAAGAGAGACGCAAGGGCAAGCTCTGGAAGAGAACAATTGTTTTTTTTAAAGGGGTGTGGAACATTTAAAGAGATGAAACAAAACTCTTCATATGTTAGCAAATTAACAACAACAACGAAACTGAAAATTAGCTTCTTATTCCTCCTAACAGTTACCACTTAATGAACGTCTATCATGCGTAGGGCATCTAACAGTGAGTTTCAAAATATCATCACTGATCCTTACAACCTTGTACAACAAACATTTTCACCTTCATTTTAAAGATCAATCAACAGCTGGAGAGAAGTCCATTGAGTTCTGCAAGAGCACACGGCCAGGTATTGAAGCTGTGATTCTGACTTACGTATGCAGCTTCCAAACCTCTTGTTCTTCCACTGCCATACCACCTCCCTGTCACAGCCTTTGGATGAATGTGTATAGACTATGGAACTTACTTTAATGGCCATAAGGACTCTTTATACCCAAGGACTACTGAAGAGCAGACAGAAGCAGAGAACAGGAAGGAACGAGGAAACTGAGAAAAGCATCAATGGAGTAGAAATCTGGTTGGTCTTCAAAGGTGAAAAGGTAGAAAAGTAGGAAAGGCATTTCAGGGAGAGTAACAAATATAAATCTCACCACCTCCAAACTTTATTTTTCTTCACAGCACTCATAATTACCTAGAATTATACTGTTTATTAATTTGATTGTCTCCTCTACTAAAATGTTTCTTCCATGAGGGCAGGGACCTCGTTCCCTTCCTGCTGCATTCCCAGTTTTCGGAACATAGTAGGCATTCAAATATTTGTTGACTGAAGGAATGAATACTAAGTTGAATTTCGGAACATAGTAGGCATTCAAATATTTATTGACTGAAGGAATGAATACTAAGTTGAATTAAACATGAATGCAGTTTTTCATTGGTAGTAAATCTAAATCACCGTGAAAATTAATTACTTACCAATATACCAGAGAGGCCAGTATGTCACATTATAATATGAACTAATCAATTTTCCAGTCCTAAAAAAGTTAGAAAAGCTTTTCAATATCTTAAAAAAACAACACCAAAAATCAAAACAAACACACACAAACCTGTAGAACCGACCATTAGCCTCTTAAAGTTTTACTTTTTTTTTGGCTAATTAACTTACATTTCAGTATATATCATTCCAGCCATAGATACATTTAGGAGTCCCCAGGCTAAAACCACTTTCCTAGCTTCTGCTTCTTTTCTCATCTTGATGGTTCTGTCAATAAGGGAAGCACTAGGGTTTGGGTCCCCTTGCATCTATTCAAAAAACAAAAAGCACAAGAATTAATCAAAAGAAACTACTTCTCCATTTAAGAAATCAAATTGGTGTCCTTTATAATGGTAACTAACAACTGCACACACTTTTCCTCATCTTTAAAATGTCTTTCCAGGGCTGGCTCCGTGGCTCGGCGGTTAAGTGCGCGCGCTCTGATGCTGGCGGCCCGGGTTCGGATCTCAGGCACGCCCCAAGGCACCACTTCTCCGTCCAACCAGAGGCCAAGTCCCACGTACAGCAACTAGCAGGATGTGAACCTATGACATACAACTATCTACTGGGGCTTTGGGGGGAAAAAAATGAATAAATAAAATCTAAAAAAAAAAAATAAAATGTCTTTCCAAAATTTTTACATTTCAATAGTAGCACATGAAAAGGGAAGCTTAAATTATCACTTCATTGGCACCATACTGTAATCAACAGAGAACTAGCAGCTGCTCACTTCAGAGAACAATTTAATACTTCCAATAAGTAAAAATGTCTTATTTTGTAATGTAAGGGTGGGTGATTATGTCTGCTATTGCTCTGCATTGTTTTTGGAATATGTCACAAGGACTAGCCCAAAGGGTAATTTAACAAACTCAAAATACCAGGTTTGGGGAGAAAATATTCCATATAAGTTAAAAGCCATTAAAGACTCCTCCAACATCCTCATGCAGAAGCCATTAACTGCCTGCGATCTTAAACAACTCTGCACTCTGCGCTCAGCTCGCTCACCAGAAATCTCTGTTTTGTGTTGCTGAGAAAGTTTAAGGATTTAAATTTTAGAAGGGCGAGTACTCATGATGTAAAGGGTATGAGAGCGAGTGGGAACAATGTGCATTTAGTTTTGGTCCACTCCTGGATTTATATTTCCTTTGTTTTGCTAAGCCTCAGCTCTTGCAGACACGTGTAAGACCTGTTCCAGCCACAGGGAGTTGTATCCCATGGAGAACAGAGCACTACTCTTCCCGCCACCCAGCCCCCGAGTCAAAACTCCCCTGTCCGGAGAGCTTCCCTCCCTGGCTCTCCTAGCTCAAACTTTAGCAACCCCTATTGCTTCTTTCCTCCCTCACTACGCGTACTGGGACTCGTGACCACATCCCCCTTGGGCTGAAACCTCCGCAGATCCGCAAGCGCGGAACTCCCACGGCTCGCGTGGACTCCGCGTCCAGGAAGCACAAAAACGACCCCGAAAACGCACCATGTTCTTCGGCCGGAAGCCGCAGCCTCGCGCCACTCTTTACTGCACATGCGCAAAGCCAAGCGCTAAAGCGAAGGCAACCGGCTCGCGGGTCTACAGTTACCGGAAGAACAGGACTGTCTCTTCTCGCGAGAAATTTGGGGGCTGGGGGCAGGGTGGACGGAGTCTAGGAACGTTACCAAGGAAACGGTTGGCGGATTTGTGGCTCCCACTCAGCTGCGTGGAGAAAGCTGTGCAGCAAAAATTCAGACCAGGTTCTGAACCTGCAGTAAAAAGTAATAACTATAACAAGCCGACTTTCTATATGTTAATATAATTTTAGCTTTCCTAGGGCATTTATGGACTCATATTTTTAAGCAGATTTTATTAAGCAGGGCGGCTAATAGTAGGATACAGAGTACGTGGCCGTGTGTCCAGATACTCTCAGCAATGACAAAGCATTTCTCGCATCTCTGTGGTAAACAAGAGAGAAACAAAAAAACAGATGTCCTGACCCGATGTAAATTCTTAAATATCTTGGTAATAAGGGTGCAGCAGTAACAAGAAAAACCAAAATGTGTTTCGTTGTCGAAGTTGCTAGTGGTTTTGAGGTTAAAAAAAAATTTTTTTTTTACTTTTCCTGCATATGCTTTGGAAGAACTAATCCTCAGGAAAAGGTACATCAGGGAGTTGAGTTTGGTTTTATTTAACAAATAAAAACGCCTACAGTGTGCCACTGAGCCACACGCGGGGATGTGAAAGTAGAGCTCCCTGGTTATTGTCTGGGGGAGCTCAGCTCGAGGGTGGCCGGCAGGTGCGCTAGGGGAGGCAGGTGGGGCGCCGTGAGCCCCGAGGAGGCGCGACACACCCAGCCTAGGCTCCCCTCGAACTTCTGGGGGAGGCGACGAGGGTCTAAGGCAGAGGGCCAAGGGCCAGGAGGCGTAGGGCCTGCGGACTTGCCCTTGGGGATGTGGACAAGTGTGCCCCTAATAAAAACATCTGCCATGTCACAATAAGCTAGTGGGTTGTTACATCATGTCTGTCCCAATGGCCTAAAATTTCCCTAAAATGGGCCTACGGTCAAATAGAAGAAAGTGAAGTTTGCTTGTGGTGTTGCATGATAATGAAAATCTGCAGGTATGCTATGCTCTTAAAGATCTAACAGATTTTTTTAAAGTGGGATTTTGTAATTTTTAAATTGCCTTGGCAGCAATGGTGTTTTGCATTTAGAGATAAACTAATTTGAAAATTGTTCCAAGTGAAAGGGTTCAATGTTCAGTCAAAATTAGAATACCAGGTTCCTCTCCACCCGGTATCTGACTCTTTCCTGGGAAGATATTGTATACATCTGATTAATTCACAACAGACACGTCTATATTTTCTCTTCTAATGTAATCTGTAAATTACTGTGCATTTATTAGAGGCTTAAAAAGGAACACTACTACTACCCAAATTAGAGATATCGTTGGCATTATGTATTAGTTTGCTAGGGTTGCCTTAACAAAATACCACAGACAGGGTGGCTTAAACAACAGAGATTAATTTTTAAACAGTTTTGGAGGTTGCAAGTCTTAAGATCAAGGTGCCAGCAAGATTGGCTTCTTCTGAGGCTCGTCTCCTTTGACATGCAGGTGGCTGCCTTCTCCATGTGTACTCACTTGGCCTTTTTTTTTCTGTGCTCACACACCCCTGATGTCTCTTCCTCTTCTTGTAAGGACACCAGTCATATTGGATTAGGGCTCCATTCTATGACCTCATTTAACCTTAATTACCTCTTTAAAGGCCCTATCTGCGGTTATTGTCAAATTGGGGGTTAGGGCTTCAACATATGAATTATGGGGAACATAATTCAGTCTGTAACACATTAGAACTGTGTATGTTAATTTACAACGATATGATACATGTAAAAGAGACTGAAAAAAGATGAATAGATACCGCAGGGACTTAGATTTTAAAGACATTAAAATATTGTATTTAAAGAAAATACAGTGTCTCAAGTTTCATGAAAAAAAGATAAGGCAGAATGCACCATATTAAGGTACGGAGGAAATACTATAAACTTTCATAGAAGTAAGTTAAATAAATCTTCCAAAAACTTAGAAATCCAAGAAGACTTCGTCAGTTCCTGTCACAGTTGCTAAAGTATATGTCATAATAGGTTGCCAAGGAAGTTGTCATACACACAAAGAGAGTACTTCCCAGTCACCTTCATCACTTTGAGTATGTTTTATTTTCGAAGCAAGAAGTCATCATGGGAGACCTTTTTTCCCTATTTTGGGAGGTGGATCCTCCCCCCATACCTTTAAGCTTTACCATTCCAAATCAAGATTATGAATGCCGGAAGGATGACTCTTGTGGGACAATAGGGAGCTTCCTACTTTGGTATTTTGTCATTATATTGGTCCTGATGTTCTTCTCTCGGGCTTCTGTCTGGGTAGGATATCCTTTTTCATTTTAAGTAATATATTTACTGTATACTAGGAGATTTTCCATAAAATAAGCTCACTTTACTTGGATGAAACTACTTTTTAAAAGTTTGTTTTCTAGTTTTAAAAATAATGCAGTCTCATTCTAGAGAATCCAAGAATATAGAAAAGGTTGAAGAAGAAAATTTAAACTACTGTAATCCTATTTCCTAGAGATAACCACTGTTAACATTTTGGAATATGTTCTTCTAGTTTTTTTCTTTCTCTCTCTCCATCTCTCCATCTCTTTGATCTTACATGGTTGGCGTTATATTGTATATATTTTCACATTCTGCTTTTTTTAAACTTAATATTATATTGTAACACTTCCTCAAATTGTATTCACATAGCAACACTCTTAATGACTGTATAATTTTGTCTTGTGGTTGCACCATAGTAAATCTGCAATTTTGAGACATTTAGGTTGGTTGCAGTTTGTCCATATGCTATGTAATGCTGGAATATACTTCCCTACTGGTTAATGACCTCCAAATTCCTTTTGTAGCCACGTAATTCTAATTAAAGATACAGAAGTTGTCGTATTTATAGGATACATGTTGTAGGATTTGGGGGTTTTTAGAATGAAGCAGTACACTCTCCGCATAGAATAAGAGGCAGAGCTAAACAGAACTGAAGTCATCACTCCAGACCACCTACCAGCAGAAGAAAATGCCATCCTCTTAGGAATGGGATAGCCCACTTTATCAGGTCTGTGATGCTCCAACATATTATGAGTAACTGAGAGCTTATAAATCGCTGACATGGAATCCTTCCTGGCCATTAACACCAGCCTGCTGATTAATCAAACCACCTGCTGATTAAATCAAATCATTTAGCATTACAGCCAGAGTGCTGGGCTGGCCATGGTCAGCTAGACTGTGTGCTATATCAGCTCTAGATGGAGAGGAGGAGGTGTCTTATGTCTATGCCAGCTGGATTCCATTATAATAATCAAAGACTCTTCCCCTCACCACCTCCTCCCCCTAAGAAGTTTCATCTCAAGTCTAAATGCTTCTTAAGGTAGATACTTTGCCAAAAGGAGATTTAGAATAGTGATAGGTTATACATGTCTTAGACTCCCTAGCTAAGTATATTGAATTTGTCTGGCCTGGCAAGAAAAGCTACTTTAGAAAATTAACAAAAAATTGAAATTGATTCCTGGCAATTTCATCATGAAGACCTCTGAAGAGGTCTAAGCTATTCCTTTGCTGCCTTGCTTGCATCAGCTCTTTGGAGTCACAGAACCCTGAGCTTTAAGGACCTCAAGAGAGCATATGGTCCAGCCTCCTATTTGTAGGCAAGTAAGATATCAGTATCTCTCCTTTTGTTTTATTGATAAGGCCCAAAGAAATTAAATGACTTGTCCAATGTCATTCAAGTGGTTAGTGACAAAGGGGGGGAGTAGACCCAGGTTTCCTGCAATATCATTTGTTTGCTTCAAAGCACAGTTGAAATGTCGAATTAAATCTATTCCGTGCTGATTAAAACCTAAATTACCTTAGAGGTTTCGTCTTTCACTTTGTACCCTTATAGCAGCTACAATCAGTTGAACTGCTTCTTCTGAAGGGTCACAGAATTGAAATCTGAGAACCATATGAGAGCTAGTCAAGGAGGATGGAAGTTTTCCTTCACTTTGAACTTCATTTTCTCTGCTAAACTATGAGCCTTTATTTACAAACTTTGAAGTAATGGTAAAAGCCTGATGGAAATGTGGTGGTAATTATCCTCAAACATGAAACACATTGATTTCCTCTGGATTTGCCACTCTTTAAGATGCATTTGCCCTTTTGCTTTCAGAAACTATATATACTATATTTAGTTTCTATGTTTGTTTAGTGTTTATTCAGATTGCTTGTGTTGGAATTTTTCCAAACAAAACCAGTCCAAGCACCGCATTTTGCATATGTGGAAACTGAACTTAGAGGTGTTAAGTGGCTTGATAAAATCACAGAGTTGGTTAGTGGCAGAAAGGCAGAGCCATAGCCCAGATCTCTCCACGTTTTAGGCAGGCACTGCTGCTGTTTTCACTCACTGAGTCACACACAAAGACAGTTAATAAGATGCTTTTGGTAACCACAGTTCATATGATTCCACTTAGCTTGATGCAGAATCTTTCTTTTGACTTTATGATTATATTTTGATTTGACATCAAGTCAAATATGGAGGCTTTCTGTGAAAATGATATAAACCTAATAAGTGTTTTTAAACACTTCCCCTCCTCCATTACAAAAGTACCCATTATAGAAAATGTGGAAATTATAGGAAAGTAGAAAAAAATAAATAAAAACCACTCCAGATTACATAGAAATAACCAACTACAATTAACTTTTAGGTTTATAAACTTCTAATCTTTTAATAATCATCTCTATACGTATTAAATTTAAAATAAGGCCCCCCCATTTTTTTGAAAAAAGAGGTATCTTAAAAGAGGATTCTACTCTTAAAGTTTTCAGAGAATGGTTGCAGTTACCCAAAAAGCAAAGAGGTACCTTGTTAAAGAAACTTTCCTACCATTGTAGAGATCAGATATTAAAAAAGAAATGGGCCAAGGATCTTAGATTGAAGTTATGAATACCCAAGTATGGCAGTTTTCAACCCAAAGTAAGTTTGACTTTCTACATAAATTCATTTTTTCCCCCTAATTGTAGAGAATTTGAAAAATCAGAAGGACAAAAAAAATCAGTTTCACTACTCAAAGGCGACAATTGCCAACACTTGCGTACATCTCTTACAGTCTTTTTTATTTTCATATTTTTAGGTAGCTTGTGATCCTACTGCATATACAAATTTGCATCATGATTTTTAACTTAATATTATAACATTTATTTCCTCATATTATGACATACTTTTATTATAATAATTTTTACAACTAAATATTATATGATTGTATGATTGTACCATAATTTATTTAACCATTACCTACTTTTGATTTTTGTATTTTATATTATCCTAATTACACTGTGATGAGTATTTCTATACACGAAGCTTTCTCTCTTTTGGGGGTTATTTCCTGGTGATAGTTTCCCAGAAGAATTATTATGTGTCAAAAGTGTTGTATTTCAAAAATTTTTGATACATTCTGAAAGAGTTGCTTTATATTTGTATCTTTTGGCAACACCCTTGTCAGCATCAAAAAGTGGGACACTGATCTGAAAAGTGGGACAAATATATTTATGGAATATTGGGGCAGAATATTTGAAATTAGAACTATTCAAAGAAATCCATTTATTCTGGTTGCCATATTCATAGATAATATATCTTGGTTGCATTTTGGAGGAAAGTTTCTGAAGGATTTAGGAGATATTAAGTCTATGAATTCAGGTAAAGATCTTAAAGAATTATCAATAATGTGACCTGATAAAATGTCTTGTAAAAAGTAAAAGTAATCCTAGTACTATCAAATCTGTTATTAAATGATATTTAAATTTTTTTTTAGTTTTTATTTATTTATTTTTTTTTTTCCCCAAAGCCCCAGTAGATAGTTGTATGTTATAGCTGCACATCCTTCTAGTTGCTGTATGTGGGACGCGCCTCAGCATGGCCGGAGAAGCGGTGCGTGGATGTGCGCCAGGGATCTGAACCCGGGGCGCCAGCAGTGGAGCGTGCGCACTTAACTGCTAAGCCACGGGGCCGGCCCTTAAATGATGTTTAAATTATTATCACTCTATATTGTTAAGTGAGTACAGGAAAACTTTATAACCTATAGCTCCTTATCAGTATTATTTTCTCTCAAGTCTTTGTTCCATTCTGCTTAGTTTAAAACATTTTGGTATATTCTGCTATCAAAGCCTGGTTTTCCTGATACGCAGCAGCAGTAGGATCACCATAATAGGAACTCAGTAAGTATTTATTGAACTGCATTGAATGTTTAAAATTAGACATTGTCAAAGGGCCTAGGGCAATAGTGTTTCTTAACAAGTAAATATGAGTGAAAAACAACCGAGTTCATTATTACTAATCTATATTTCTGAAACAGATGTCTGAGAAGAAAAAGGATGAAGATAGTGGGACAAGCACTTCAATAAGTAAAGGTGAGGGCAAGTGCATTTTCGGTATTGGACTATGATGAGAAATATATACTGAGTGTGGAAAGCAAACTACAGAGGTGAACAGCCAAGAGTGTTATAGGGCTCCCCCAGCCTGTGGTGGCCCATTGGATGAGCTCCTTGCCTTAGTACAGGCGGACAGCTTAGCTGCTTTAGCAGAGCCACTAGAGGCCATAAATCACTGGTAGGTAAAGCTCAAGCTCTCTTCATTTTTCAGCATTCTCACTTCACACAGCTTGCCTTCACACATCTTTATTGTTGGTGTTACTACTAGGATTATAAGCTCTATAAGACATCTGTTTCAATGACCTACAAGCAGTGGTGTACTGGTAAATGTTTAACAACTGGCTCTCCAAAAATATGTGTGTATGTGTGTATACATGTTTTTAAAAAATTTTTACTGATATAAAGAATGTATATCACACAGTTTACAAATAATAAACTATATAATGCTCTTTATGGTAAATTCCATATAGACTGCTGATTCTCACAAAATACTTTCCTTGATTTTTGCCAGACCCTTGCATCCTTAGCCAACCTATAGCAGCAATTGATGAACAAGTAAGTGTAGGTCCAAAGTGAATACTGTTTTCCTTAAGTTAAGGATTAAGATGAAACAGGAAGATGTACGTTGGAACTTGACTTGGTTGTCAGTGTCATGGGTGACTTCTTTGCTGAACTGGATAATAGTTTTAGAACACTGTGGAAATATATTTCGTCATTTTTGGGTGCTATTCACAATGTAGTGGCTACAGGCATGGCACTTTTAAATGTAATCTGTGTTAGTAACATGTTCTCCATCACTTTCTTAAGCCTAGATAATCAGCAAAACCATAAACCAAGCCTTGATTTTTAGTGTTTGTTCATTTTTATGTCGTGAAAACTGATTTCAAGTGACCAACATGATGTCACTGAATATGGAGTTGAGAAGAGATGCACAATAGCACATCATTACATAGTATTTCTAATATCTAAATACAACAGACATAAATAGCTTTAAGAGCATACATAATAACAAATGTAAAATAATTAAGAAGTAATGGGTTTTGAGTGTTTATTTGTAATAAACTGATTTAATGGTATGTCTGTATAATTTAATTTTTACTAATGGCTGTGTTTAACAACAATTTTGCAAAATTCCTGAAAAGTTCAACAATCAGTTCTTGTGAGTTGGCTGGTATGAGCCAACTCCAGCACACCACTGTATAAAGAAGAGATCCTCTTTAGTTTCCTGCTACCCAAATCACATTCATATACACACTTGAACCTTTAAGACTTCAAGGCAAAGGAAAAAAGTGTTCTTCTCTGGAAAAGTTTAGAGACCTTTCCCTTGATCTTATATCAGAGGTCCACAGAACTTCAAAAGTAATATGTTAAGCATCTATTTGACCCTTTTGGCCTGTAGGAGATTTGGTATGGTACTGAAAAATGCAGTCAGCTGCCAAAACTTGCAAAATGAGTGGAGAAAAGTGGTGGCTTGGCAAATGGCAACTAAAAGTGAGCTGCACATGCCACAGGCTTCCTTAGGTATTACGAAGTTATGTTAACCAACAATGTGCCTAACTTGTTGATTTGTTTTGTTTGTTATTAGCAAGCAAAGATACTTCCTATAAGCGGCAAAGCAAAGATGGTACCTGGGACTCTTTACAAACGATGAAAAAACCAAAGCAGAGCCAATTTACCCCTGTAACTGAGTCAGAACTGGCTTTGGTCAACGCCTATCTTGAACAAAGACGAGCCAGGCTCCATTCTCAATTCAGCCAGATGAATCAGACCCAGCGTGACAGTGATACTACGGAGTCTGACAGTGAAGAATCTAACTCAGGAGCCTCCTCATGGAAGGAGAGTGAAAGTGAACACCATCCATCACCAACCAGTATTAAGAAGAGAAAAATAGCTCAGAGGCAAAAGAACGTGGGAAGTTACCAGATCAGGGAAAGGCCCTGCCTCCACTGCAAAGCCCTGAGAACCAATGAGTGGTTGACACGCCATTTCCTTCAAAACACCTCAGTAGCAACCCCAATGAAGGGAGATATTCAAGAGGAAAATTCTTCACCTGACATTAACACAAAATTCAGTAAATTTTGAATTTTATCAAGTCCTTACCTTACTTGAAGCCAAATGAAAGAAATGAATAAAGCACGAAAAATCGCCAGAGTTCTAGGTGAGGAGGCTTTTACAGTAAAGTCTCTACACTAACAACAAAAACATACTTGGAACCCAAGAGGTAAAATTTCAGATAATTCTTTGTCCCAAAACAGGCCAGTGAATTTGTTTATGGCACAATTGGAACATCAAAGATCTGCATCCACTATGATTTTTTATTCAAAAGAACACAAGACAGATATTTTATGTCTTGAGTGTATTTTGTTTATGTATGTAATACAAATAAGGAAGCTCTTTGAAAATATATTTATGTTCAGAAACCATTTAAATTCATTCATATGTTTTGATTATCTGACTGAATGAATTAGGCAAAGTTGGTTGGAATAGAATTGGCCCATATTCTCCAGGTCCATATTTTCAGGTGACTCTTACCTGAGCTGTGTTCCTGCACAGGTGTGAGGAAGAGAGGAAGAGGAGCTCAAGAGCCTGAAATAAGATCTGATTCCTCCAGTAGACCAAGGAGCTGAGGCAGCATGACCCAGAGGGGCAGCTGGGCCATGGGCTGTCCATGGTGATTGTCCAAAGGGCATGGCAAATGTTAAAGAAAAAATTATTCTGACTTATTAAAGTGGTAAAGAAGACTTTATTCAAGAGTCTTGTAATAGAGGTTAAATCTGTTGCAATAGGGAAGAGAAATAGAGCTCAACTTCAAATACGCAAGGACAAGCAGAGATTTATACCCAAGGAGCAGGCTGAGGGGGTCAGTGGATGGAAAATTACTAAGAGGAGACATCAAGGGTAGGAGGATTCCTGCTAAACTGACCTAACAGGATTCTTGCTAAAGGCAGACCAAAGATTTATACATCAAATGTGAAGGATGAGGAACTTGGTCAGATATCAAGGGTGATCAGACATCAAGGGTGGGGGACTCTCACTAAACCTATTTAGCAGGATTCTTGCTAAAACTGGACTGGGCAGGCCAAAGACAGGATGGGCACCAAAGTCGAGTTCTGGTCAAGAAAAGGGCTCAGAGGAGCCTGACTAAAGTTTGGTCAAAGAGAGAGTCTTTGTTGCAAGTTAGCCTCAATCCAGACATAGTTGGGGCTAGGTTTTCCAGTTAAGTGGGGACCCTAGTAGTGGGGAATTCAGGCAGGCCTAGGTGGATGGGTGGCCATTTTGGAGATCATTCTCCAGATAGATGGCAAAACTCCAGCTGGGATATAAAACAAAGCTCAGATCCCAGAGGAGAGGGCTGGCAAGGACGAGAAAAGTAGCAGGGACTCTGGTCACTGGGCTAGAGTTCAAAGAAGGGCTTAAATCTTGGAGAAGGACTTAGGTACTACACATAGTAAAGACTGCAGCCTAATACTAAGGACTGAACCTTCCAAGGGGGACTGGGAATGAGACCACAGAAATATGATTTTGGTCTCTGGAGTCACTCCTGATAACAGCAGTTTCTTTAAGTGATTGCAAAGAGTCCTGGGGGGCAATATGGGATCCCCTACTATTGCAAGTAGGCCACTAGAATCCAGGACTTGGGGTAACATTTCTGAACCTATTTGTGGAGACTGTCTTATTCAGATTGCTTCAGGATTAGAACAGGTCTGTTCCTCAGATTGGAACAGGTGAAAAACAGGACAACTTCAAGATTCAGCTTAAGCATCAACCTTTCCCATGAAGACTTCCCTTACTCCTTAACACCCTGTTTTACTTTGTTCCCTCAGGCAAACTCACTATGCCCTCCCTTATGCTCCAGTAACCTTGAAAAGTCCTGCATCCAGCACCCTTAACATTTTAGTGAATGTATTTGTTTGCAAGTCTCTCTGTTGCCTATATATATTTATCCACTCTTAAAGGTAGAGTCCATGATTTGTCATCTTTGTATCTCTATGACCCACCATAGCGCCAGACAACGTGATAGCTAAATAATGCAGTTGAATCAATATACAAAGGGATTCATGAATGCAAAAGGGAGGAGCTGGGGAAAGCAGAGGCAGAGAAAGCAGGGCAGGGGCCAATATCTAAAACTTAGTGAATTATTCTGATATTTCTAGCTTGATATGATCAAGATGCTTAAGTTATCTTGTTTATCTAAATAGCACCCAAACAAAAACCAAAAAGCCAAAAAACAAGCTCAAAATATAGTATTAAGTTGCAGAGGCAGGATTTATACCCAAGTTGTCTGGCTTCAGAGTTTGGGCTCTTAATTACTGTGATCTTAGCCATTATTCTCTGAAGATGGAAGATCCTGATTTCAAGGTAAGTTATCATCACTTCCCACATGGCCATAAGTGATGTCCAAGCAGATGTAATCTCACTACGGAAAGGGGGACAATGACGGTTTTCCAGATGTTAGAGTAAGGGCCCATGCCCCAAATGTTTTGCTTGTGGATCTAGACTATAAACCAGTGACACTATTATCTGAAGAGTCATTTATATCAAAGACTGCTACTTTTCATGGTCTCATCCATGGGCTAGAACAGATCAGAGTTGGGGGGTGGGAGATTGCCTATAGGAAGAAGGAACCATGGGCTATAAATATGAGAGGATTAAATAGGGTAATCTGTAAGTATTTTGAACCCAAAACAGAGCCAAACACAGCTGGGAGGATATCCAAAGCCAAGGAGAGAAAAACACTGAATCAAAGGCAAGGACATGGTAGGATGAGGGGCACAAGTGTGGCCAGGCCCGTTGGAACTGGATGAATGAGTTAGGTATAGAACTGGTGAGGTGCGAGATAGTTCGTGAAACTAGGGCTGCAAACGCTAGTTGTGTCTGGATGTTGCTTTTATGCAGAACGCGGTATGAGCTTTCAGGGTAGAGTCCCTGAGCTTCAATCCCTCCTTGCTGAATGGGATAAAGTAGGTTGCCTCTGGTTTTTATGGTAGAAGGTTGTAACCTGTTTGCGTGGCTTACTTGAGGGCAGGCATGGAATTCTTGGGCTTGCCTCCTATTTGTGGCCCATCCATGCAGCTAAATGATTAGAACTGACCTCTGTGGCAATGTCCACCTATATCAAGCATCACAATTCTGGTTCAAGGAACTATGGAATGCAGGGAAGGGTCCAACTGTGATGGATGTGGTGAAGAATGAGAATATGTACATAGGAGGTGTTTGGAGAGGGGTTGGAGAATGGGGGAGCTGGGAACTATGGCTACCGGGTAGACAGTCTCAAACTCTAAACCAGTATCTGCCCTCGAGGACCAGGTGGTGTGGTTTCCGTGGGAGGAGAGATGAGCCACTAGGTTAAATCTAAACCAAAAATAATAGCAGCAATAATAATAATATTGATAATAGATAACATTTAGAATGCTTGCCATATGCCAGGCACTGAAGTGAGCATTTTATAAGGATTATTTACCTGTCACAAGCCTGCAAAAAGGTATCTCCCCAACTTTATGGATGGTGAAACTGAAGCTTAGGGAAATTAAATGACATACTCAAGGTCATACAGCTGTTGAGTGTGGGGGAGCTGGGTCTTGGTCTTTTCTGACCACAAAGATTTTGTTTTCACCGTGATAATACATTATCCATGTTCTTAATGGAGAGCAATTAGGTAAGAACTTGGGACACCAAATACCAAATACCAAACCGAGTCCAGAGAGACCAGAGAAGGACTGTTAATGGAAAATGGGGCCAAGAGTCAGAAATGGAGCAGAGATGGGAGCAGTTAAGTAAAGCTGGAGAGGGTTCACACTGTTGAGTGGGGAGGCCTGGCAGCATCTGCTTGCCTCATCTGCAGTGGTGAAGGCTGGCCAGCTCACCAGTGCATCAGGTAGAAACTCAGGGAGATCTTTTGAAAAAAAGGGGGAAATGGAAACTTAGCTGGAAGAGCTGGTGAGGGTAGGAATGAGCTTCCTTCCCACTGAGTGTTGAGGAACAAGAGGCAGTAGTGACTAGAGCAGTGAGGCTGATGGCCAAGGGTTTGAGAGCAGGAGAATGCAGAGAGGACACCGTGAAGAAAACCAGACAGCAGCTACAGCTCTTCCCCACAGCCACCCTTTCTCTCATGAAGGAATGCTATCTCCCACCAGATTCTAGAGGAGTGTTTTCAAAACAGCAACCCATTAATAGACTGTGGAATCAGTTTAGTGGGTTGTGAGTAGCATTTATTAAAAAATAAATAGAAAATAAGAGTATCGCACATAAGGGTAAGTATTGTTTTTGTTTCTGTGTGTGTGTACTGGGTTGCATTGCAAAATGTGTTTCTTACTATGGCAAGATAAAAAATAAAAGCCACTGCTCTGGAGTAGTTTTCTTTGTAGACTTTCTGAATTAGCCAGCTATTCCACTAAGTTAGTGAAGAGAGTTGTCACTCCATGCATTCCTGATTGTTATGTATGCTAGTAATTAGTAAATCCTCACCCGCACTAGTAAATCCATGCTGTCTAGATTAGTGAAAAGCTTGAATTAAATTATACTGCTTTAAAAGAACTTGAGGTTTATTATTTTCCAATAGACTAAGTGGAAGCAAGCTAACCAACTGTTGCCTGGTACACAGGGGTGGGTTTTGCCTTGGTGAATAGACAAGAGTAATTTGTAATTGACATTTCAAAGGGGCCTTAGAAACAGGCCAGCCTTTGTTTAAATCATAATTATCCTGTTTGTATGTAAAAGGATACTTCTAAAGCTTTTCAAAACAACTGGTTCTTTTAAGTAGATAATTATTCGCCTTCCAATCTTGTTTACACTATTCAGAACTTCAGTGAATTCTTTTTCTTCCATAGATAGTACAAAGGTTAACTTCAGCCAGCCCTTCCTCAAGTTATGGCAAATTCCCAATTAGTGAATTCTAAACAGGGTTTCCCTGTAACAATATACCGAAGACTTGCATGATGTGTTCTTTATTGCTTTGAATAACATCTGACAAGTTTCCAAGTACCAGGCCACCTGTATATTCTCTATCTGTCAGGAACATGTGGTCACAGAGGTGCATGGGAGGGTTAGGGAAACACAAGTCAGGCACCAACATGTAGGGGAGACAAAAGGGAGAAAATGCTTTTTGTTTTTTTAGTATCACATATCAAGTGAATATTAGATTGTAGGCACTTTTTGGTGTAAAGAAGTGCTGCGCTTTAAATTTCACAAAGCTACAGATGAAAACGGAAAACTAGCTTTTTCGTATGTAGACTGGAAGTTATTAGGCCTCAAGAAGTTGGCAGAGGGAAGACATATTATGTAAAAAGTTATACTTGTCCTTTTTTGAACAACTTACTTCTCATTGCAGATTTCCACTCAGTGCACAAAAGGAAATGCATGAAATACTTTTTTTTAAAGAAAAAACAAAAATGTTATAATCCTGGGCAATGCTGTCTTCTAG